AGCATGGGCGGAGATGACGAAAAGACATCGTTTCTCACGCTGATTTCTTCTCACTTTGATGGAACTTTCTAATCAAACAGCACATAACCGACTGTTAATGGGGATCCAATCGACTAGTGCTGCCTCAGCTCTAGCGCTTAGTGCGACACCAACGCCAGCAAGACCAGACGAAGATGACACAGGGTCCCCGGATAAACGCACTTAAACCAAGAATTTCGAGGCGACAGATGGAGATCGAATTTGCAGTACTTCACCGGGGTCTTGAATATGGGTCTCGGATAGATAACAGACGTCTATATTAAGACCTTCTAAGGACATAGCCAGCCCTATTTCTTGCCCGATCTGCATTACAGTGAGACCGTTGAAGGCAGCCAGTTTGAATGGTGCATGTGGTTTCAGTAATCCGGTTTCATAATTCGTATTCGGTGGAAGCATTCGATTTTTGACTCGAGATCGTTTAGATAGAACAGAATTCCCACCATAAGCGAGCTGCTGTATAAATTTAAAAGTAAGGATACGCAAGGTTTGAATGGAAGAGGGTGGATAAGTGACGTCGTACAAATAAATAAAAATAAGAGTGGATGATATAAAATGGGTACGGGTTAGTTAAATGTAATATGAGTGCGAGTAGTACATTCAATAATCATTGTCATTTCATTGTAATTGTGTGAGGGGTGTGATACTGCTTGGGTGTCCAGACCGAAGCAGATAGTTTTTTTAGGGGGCCACACTCCGAGCCTTTGACCGAAAGGTCCGATCCACAGGGCAGTGGAGCATCGTGAGGAGATGCAGTCTCATGGTAGCCGGTAACCAACAATTGGTTCATACGCCATTTGTCCTCTCAGAATACCAAAGCCCATGTGCACCATTGGAATCAGGGTTTCCCAACAACCCTAGTTGGATTCACCGTGTCAACTGTCCCGGTTAAAGCGCAGGATATTCGCTTTTCGTCCTCTTAATTTCGTAAACAACACCCCGGCCGCGCGAAGGCAAAGAGTAGGACTTGCCCGACAGAGGCTGTATACACGTAGCCGTGTGAGAGCATTTCGAGATGGAGGGCAGGCCCTCCCCACTCTCAGCCGTACCAGGGCACTTGGGGGCAAGGTAAATGGTGTCAACCTTCCCCTTGCAATCAAGGATGGTTGTACATCTGGTCACCGCAGTCAGGAGGTTGGCTATACAAGAATGACCCTTCTTGAAACCGTGCTGTAGGGGTGAAAAGAAGTTTAAGGTTAATAAATGGTCGTGTATACAGTCGCATATCAGGGACTCCATAATTTTTGAGGGTATAGAGAGAGGTGCCGCCAGTCGTTAGCTTGAAGGTTCGCTGCGTTGACCTCCGAAAATTGGTGTGATGTGAGCCTGCTTCCAAATTTCCGATAATGTACATCGGCTTAGCTAGTGTAAAGACACCACACTAAGCAGTGTTGCCAGGATTGAAGCTGCTTCCCCTAGTAGAGCAGGATGGACCGCAACTAGATCAGATGTGTCTTTTTTAAGGTGACGCAGTTTCCGGTACTCCAAGTCAGCGCTCAGGTTCACTTTGGAAAGTAATACTCACTGTTGTATAAATGATTTCCAAGTCTTCAGCTCGAACCGAAACGCTTGGGTTCGGATACATACTGTTCCAAAACATGCTACATCATAGTCATCAGGAGTCCTTTATCGGAGGGATTTTTAGGCCCTGTGGTGGACATATCAGATACATTTTACATTTACTCCATATCTGAATACGCTCTGAAACGAAATCATGGATTTAGCGGACTAGGTCACGATCAATGACACCATGCATAAATGCATAACTGTTGACATGCTGAACACTCTCTAACCCATTTGTGTACATCCTTCTGTAAATTCGGCCATATATATCTGGCATTGATTAGTTTTGTTGAAGCTTTCGCGCCAGGATGAGACAAAGAATGAAAGTTATTATATATCAACTTTCGCATACTTTTGGGAACGAAAGGTCGTGGCATTGTCTTGGTCGTGTCTCAGTAGATTAGAATACCATCGACAGGTGATGGGAACTGTTTTAAAGTAAGACTTGAATTGTTTGTTTTAAGCAGGTTTTGTAATTCTAGATCCTGCTCTTGTTCGTTTCTCAACGTCTCGAAGTTTACTGTAGACTGCTGTAGCACGCTCATTTCTAGTCTAGATAAAACATCTTACGCCTGATTGTCCTGACCTTTGACATGTCGGATATCGCTTGTGAACTGTGATATATAGTCAAGGTGTTGGACTTCTCGAGGTGAGTATTTATCGGCTCTCGCTTTTAATGCATTCGTTAGTGGTTTGTGATCCGTAGACTATAAATTCCCTGCCTTCTAACATGTGTCGGAAGTGTTCAATGGTTAGGTAGATTGCAAGAAGTTCTCGCCCGAAGGTAGAATACCTTGTCTCTGCTGGAGCGAGTTTTTTTGAGAAGAAAGCAATTGGTTTCCAGGCGTTTTTAACCAGTTGGTTAAGGGTACCGCCTACTGCTTTATCTGAAGCATCCACCATCAAAGCAAGTGGGGAAAGAGAATTCGGATACATCAACGTAGTTGCTTCAGCCAGTTTATCTTTAAGCTGTTTAATAGCTTCGACGGTGTCAGAAGACGGTTTGAATTCTTTTGGTTTTCCTTTAAGTGAATCTGTCAAAGGTTGCATTAATTGTGCACAACCTGGTATGAATCTGCGATAAAGTTAATTAGACCTAGAAAACTTCTCAGTTGTGTTAGAGAACTAGGTATGGGGTATTGTTTGATGGTGTCTACTTCTTTTTTGGTCGGTTTAATCCCTTCTGGGCTTATTGTGTGACCAAGAAATTCTAAAGTTTGAACACCGAAAACACACCTACTTTGATGTATGTTTATTCCATGTTCATCCAGTCTTTTCAACACTGCTTGTACATGCTGTTCGTGTGATTGCAAATCGAGGCTGGCAATTAACAAGTCGTCTATATACCCCTGCGCAAATGGCATATCTCGAAGTAGGTTATCTATGAATCTTTGAAATGTCTGTGCCGCATTTCTCAGGCCGAATGGCATGCGTACAAACTCGAATAAGCCAAAGGGTGTTGTAATAGCTGTTTTAGGGGTATCTTCATCAGCCACTGAGATATTGTGATATGACCTGACTAAGTCAATTTTAATGAATATGTTCATACCCTGTAAACCGTTGGTGAAATCTTGGATATGCGGTATTAGGTATCTATCGGGTACGGTTTGACGGTTGAGGGCTCTGTAATCCTCGCACGGTCGCCAGTCAGCTTCATTCTTCTTTGAGACCATATGCAAAGGGGATGCCCATTGACTATCAGAGGGACGGATAATACCCAGTTGCAGCATATAATCAAACTCGGCCCTAGCGATTTTGAGCTTATTTGGTGCTAGTCTCCTGGGTTTTGCAAACACCGGTGCACCTTCGGTTTTGATAGTGCGACTTACTTTTAGTTTGTCTTTGGAAGGCTGTGGGTTTGGTTTAGTTAAGTTTGGAAATTCCGCGAGTATATCTTGGAATTTTGCTGTTGTTACTGGGGGAGTTTGAATCAAGTTAAGAGAGCTGATGTGACTTTCTTTGCCTTTTGTGTAATACGAAGTTTCTTTTAGTGTTAATCGCCGTTTCTTGGTGTCAACTAGAAATTCGTATCTCTCTAGAAAGTCCATCCCCAGTAATGCCAGATCTAGGTCGGCTACCGTGAAAATCCAAGGGAATTGCCTCCTGAACCCCAAATCTAGGGTTAAAGTTTTCTGCCCAAATGTCGCGATTTTAGTTTTATTTGCAGCTTGAAGTGTAATTGATGATGTTTCTCGACTAATCTCTTTTATTTTGAGTGATGATGCTAAGAGCAGCGCCAGTATTTACCGAGAAATTCAAGCCAGAGTTTCTGTCTCTAACATAAAACAAGCGACTGTTTAGGCGCCCCTCCTCAGTCGTCGCGACCTGGGGAGGGGTTACTCGTTTCCCACTGTCTTGGAATTATGCTTAGACCAGGCGCATGGTTGCATGCACTTGGTTGAGTTGACACTAAACTTCCAGTGGTACCAACAAAACTGCCCAGATTGTCTGGACATTTGTGACCTGTTTTGTGACTTGGATCGTGGTCGTTGTGGTGACCTGCTCCTGTTTCTATGACCCATTTGCATTCTGGTGACAGCCTCAGTGAGACTCTTAACACTCGCAATGAGTCCTTCTATTACGGGGTCTTTTGCTGATTCTACTTTTTGTGTGTGATTTATTGTGCCTGATCCAGTTGGAGGACCTCTTTCCATTATTCTATCGGCTATACGCGCTAAATGAGATAATGAGGTTTCAGGATCTTGTGCATGCAAACAGTGTTGGACGTAGCATGGTAGAGCTTGTATCCATCCTTGTTTTAGGACTGCTTCACCCAGTGTGTTATCACCCACTAAGACTTGGAGGTGACGTAAAAACTGTGACGGCGACCTATCACCTAGTGTTTCACCAACCTAGGCTGTTACATAACCTTCAAAAGTTAGTTTACAACTAACAACTTCTCAGGTCCCACTATCATGAGATTCACAAATAAAGAAATAGTTTTTTGCTATCAGCTTTGTATATTAGTGCCAAAACCGTTTCCTACATCCATTTTTATCAATTCTTAAGCAACTGTGCCTGGTTAGTTCTGGAGTGACGTCAAAGTCATGGAATAACTAAATTTTGGTCACAGCTTCGATGATTGGCTTTAATTCGTCCAATAGTACTATTGGTTCATATAATTTATCTTCTGAACTACGAGTAATTGTGCATAAATTCCCTAAGGGGAACGACCTGTCTAGTCTTCAGTATTAGGGAAAGGAGGTCAATCGACTTAGTTTTAACAACAGGTTTGAGTAGCCTCCTCTTCTGATCAAAGTTGGAGAATGGCTGAAGTATGAGGAAATGAAAGGACGAGACTTCTTAAAAATATGTGTATAAAATGAACATTCAAGTTCGTATATGAGTAACATTTCATTTCTGTGTTTTGTGACATCAAACCTCAGCCCTAATGTCTGTTCATTCGCCCGCCAAACACGTCCATCTAAACCAACTGGATCTTAATAATCATCATGGTTCTTACATTAGTATAAACTTTGTGCTTGTTTTTCCTTTCATCCATCAACAAGGTGGGTCACTAAAGGTCTGAAGTTTGGCTGACATCAGGCAAGAATACTGCCACTTTCGCAACGAATGAGAACTCGATGCCTAAGTCTCTCAGAACAACTGTTTTTAAAGACCCTGAGCTGTCAAAATATTTCAGTCATGAAAATCCAACGACTGTATTTACTGACTTTCGCCAAATTGGTTGCGGCAGCTTTGGAGCAGTTTACTATGTAAGCGTATTTTCCACTCCTTATTGTTATAGGCTCGGAATCGTACAACAAGTGAAGTCGTAGCTATCAAAGAACTAAAGGTTGACACTAAACGTAAAAAGTCAGAAGAAGAGTGGAATGACATCGTTAGAGAGATAAAATTTCTTTCTCACCTTGCACACAAAAACTGTGTATTGCCTAAAGGATGCTTCATGAAAGAGCAAACTCCATGGGTACGCGTACTATATGCTACTACATTTTCCTTTTAAAGTTAGTCATGGAATACTGCATTGGCTCAGTCGCAGATGTTTTAGAAGGTAAGTTGTATGACCTTAAATCAAAAATTGCTGATAGTACACAAAAAACCACTTCGTGAAGATGAAATCGCCTGTATCGTTCAGGAAGTACTAACTGGTCTTGACTACCTGCATTCTGAGAAAAGAATTCATCGAGACATCAAAGCAGCTAATATTTTACTTACGGACTCTGGCGGCGTAAAGATTGGTGATTTCGGGTCAGCTAGTTTTGTGAGTCCGGCAAATAGTTTCGTGGGAACACCATTTTGGATTGCTCCTGAAGTCATTCTAGCTATGGAACAAGGCATATATGACGTACGAGTGGACGTTTGGTCTTTAGGAATTACTTGTATTGAAATGGGTTAGTTTTAATGCTCACCATAAAATTTAATGCGTTCTAGCGACCGTACAAAATTGTAACCCATTGTTATGCGACCCAACTACTAAGTCATTTACTCAACTTTTACACCACTCGTTTATTTAAGATGGCCCCTTAACATTCCTGTTTTCCAGTCCGTCGGATTAAATACCTGGGGCATAAAGTCATACTATCTTCATGTATCTATATTATTATTAAATTTTGTTCTAAAAACTAAACGAGACCTACTTGTCAGACAGGACAGAAGTGCAATGTTCATCTACAAACTTAAAACCCGAACAGTAGACTGGATTAACGTTGCCGGTCTTTCCGACTTATTAGTATGGTCAGTCACCAAGCAGTAACCGTCTGTAAAACTTTCTAACAGTTACGCTTTAGTACTATTGACGCAATAGTTTTCTAACTTCTCTGTGAGGAATCCTTGGAGAACTTATTCGTTTTATTTTTAGGATCAATGGTCTGCAACCTCGGCCCCTGTCTTTTAAAAGATAGCTATACCGGCTGTGTGCTAATTACCTTACCACCCTATCACAATCAGTAAGTTGTATTCACCCAGGTCTAAGGTTTGCTGCTTTTATGATACCCCCACTGACCTTTACGACAATGGTACCCGTGGACTTCAGAAGACGAGGTTCAACCGGGTAGTCATGACGAAAATACCTCACCGTCGAACTGAATTGGCAGTTATGATCAGCTATCTGGGATATCAGAATGTAACCATTATCATATCTTTGCCCTGTTTTACTTTTGTCGTAGGGGTCTGCCTGTTATTTTTGTTTTTTATTTTATTGCGTTGTCACTCAATGTAGTTAGTTACACCCATACTTTACTTCCTGTCGTTTTTACTTTATATGACCATGTTATACTTATTTTATTTGACTCACGTAACAAAGCCAGCACGGTTGACATAAAGTTTTACTGTGATTTATACAGAATTTTCCACTGACAGCATTTTGTCCGTCCGAGTGGATCGGATAACATTTAACACTTCTGAACAAATATTCCATTGTTCGATTTTTCTGTTGACATTGTATGCTTCCCTTTCCTGTAACTCCAGTCAAGATGTAAGTTTAAATAATGTGGCTACCAGTATATAGTAGTGGGTGTGAGACTTGTTATTTTTACCTGTGAATGATCTCCGGTCGAGTTGAGCTTATGGCAAATTGTCGTCAGAGTTGATAACCAATTGTTTTCATCAAGGTTGTTCATCTCCCCCACTTTTTCCTTTTGTCATAGTTATCTAACCCGTTATGAGTTCCATTAATTGACTTGGAACACAGATGACGATTCTATTTTGTGAATATATTGAAAACATTCAGTCTTTTGATCGCCTTAACAATATAAACGCGTCTGAGATGCGTTTCTCGTTCATATGCAAAAATTTTCAGGATTCGTTTGTGCATTGATTAGTGATTAAAAGTAAAGTAGTTGGTGGGGTCGGTTTCAGAGGAAATCTCAGCACGAATTTAGGATGATCGGCTGGGTTTCGCCAGCTCCCATCACCTCCAATATAGGTGAAGTCACTGACAGTTGAACTTATTTCTGTAGGTAAGTGCAAACTACTTGGTGGGGATCCGCGTGACTACAGTGAATAACAGTTGGAGATGTGTGATGTGTGTCTGTCAATAACACATATATATTTTCTCTTTCTCCATTTAGATCTTTAGCTTTAAAATCCGCTCCTACCTTTTATTATGCGAATCCATCGTGAATTCTTTCCTCACCCACTGATACTGTTACTAGCTCTAGTCTCCTGTTTGTTTTTTATAATTTCATCTTGTTGCGTTGTGTTGTCAGCTTAAACCAATCCATATATATACTAAGTCCTACGTTGCAAATGATTGACTTTTATTACTAATGGAAGTAGGTTTAGTTCCAGTTAAAATCATGATTGCACTATTGAAGTAGGGTCTTTCAAATATCGGTTATAATTTCACTTCCCGAGTTGTTTAAGGTTTTCAAATGTGGATTGTTTTACTAACCCTATTTCTGGCAAATTTAGTCAGAGAATGTGAGGTCCTAGATATTTTATGACTCATATGTCTTATTTTAGTTTCTATTCCATATTCCCAATCTTACTTTGTTCTTAGCTGAGTTGGAACCTCCTTACTTCAGCGCTACCAATCCGATGGCTGCACTATATCAAATTGCTTCAAATGATGCCCCACGACTGGTTGGAGGTAACTGGTCGGATGAATTTCGGGATTTTGTACGGTTCGTTCTCCAAAAAGATGTAGGTCCCTCAATCTTGTCTTATTCCTTCCATATTGATATCATTATTTGTAAAAGATTTCCTCTCTTCTATTTGGTTTCATAAATCTTACTAGTTAAAATGGTGAGACTAGTTTATGGACGACCTTTGGGCGACGTTCAAGTGACCTTGATAGTGTCCGCCTAATAATTAGGACCAAATGAGGGTTATAAACCAGTGTGAGAAATTAGAATTATAATTTACAGTCGGTGGTTAAGATTAAGAATTAGATTTAGGGTTTTCATCACGAATTGACAGTTATAATTCCAAAACTCTATTTAGCCAAATGGGTGAGTGAATTTCGCGCCAAAATCCGAGATCTGTCATCTTATATCTGGTTGGTTCGTCTGTAAATCATAGTCTCGCCGTCAAAACTATACTTTCATATTTCATGAGCCATGCTCAATATCCCACACATTTCAGATCAGTCGTTGGAGCTCAAATTGTTACCATATTGCCGTTATTCTAATACAAAGATTGCACTTTCTAGTTTATTTCCGCTCCATGCTTATTAAGTATGAATATTCACAGTGTTTGTTGCGCTACTGTATTGAGGATATCACCAAGGTATTATGGAGTTAGGTTCTAAAAACTTAGTATATGAAAATCGACAATAGAAGTTGGGGGGATTTTCTTTAAAAAAATAAATACACTTTCTAAAACATTTATATTTGAGGTCGTGTCCTAGATGGTCGTTTCTAAGTATTTGTCTTTAGGAAACTATCAAACTTATTTTGAGTACTATTTTTTATTTTTTCACTAATAATCTTGGAAAACGAACTCAATGAAGGCCATTTAATTAAATTTGTGTTAATACGTTGCCGAATCCTCTTTATACTCAGATTCAAAGCGTAAAATGACTAAAATCCGATCATCGATTCGGTTTCTTAACATCATGTTGTTTACGTTTTTACTGATTTTCTATGCTTCTCTGGTTTTCTACAATTCACACAATTAGGTTTTGTTCAGTTTTATTCTGATGACAGTTATAGTTTGATCTCCAACCGATCATTATTTTCTTCATATGGTTAAAATTTTGGTAGAAACTGGTGGTAATAAATAATCGTTATCATTCAACTCACATTAGTAATATTCGATGTCAAAATAATCGAAGTGTCTTATTTTATTTTGTAGATGAATGAAAGACCGTTTTGTTCTCAAGCCATGACACACCCCTTCTTGGCTAGTGTGTTTCGTTTTTCCCATATTCTTCCAGAGTTAATTCAGCGAACCAAAGCAGCTGTAGCTGCCCAAGAAAATCAAATTAGTCAAAAATGGAAAAAAATTCTCTATGAAAGTGATTTAAATCACTCTCCATCCTCGGTCGTACCTAACAACAGTAAGGAGAGCCCAACGTCGAGGAAAACTGGGTTTGTATATGATGATTCTAATGCAGACCTAGAGGCTTCTGCAAGAAATTCCTACAAACCAAGCCTCGTCTCTGGAATATTAAGGCAGTCGCACGAAGGATCAAACATTGGTGGGTCTGAGCGCAGTTTGCGAAGGCACGATTTACGAAAGGCATCTCTTCAAACTCAGCAGCGTGAATCTAACAAATGTATTGATGAGGAAACCAGTCATGACAGTAGTTCGATAAACGATGATGTCGAATATCTTGTAGTAAGTTACTTTTATTGTGTACGACATACTTTTGTAATTCGTTTTATTACCATAGGGGTTCATGGAGATTTTCTGAATTCCATGGTTGACATTATGTAGTGATTGCTGTAATACGCAAAGTTCTCGAAAATTACTGTGTATTGAGTCAGGATACAACTGGGTACCGTTAAGCATTTTTAAAATGGTGGTGGAGAATAATCATTCAAGGTAGTTAATAATGAATAAAGCCAAAGCAATCATTGAGGAAGAATGATATGAATTCATCATATTTCGTGGTTTTTCATCAGAATGAAATTTTCGGAAAGTGATTAATTGTCTTGGTGAAATGTAGGATTCAGATGTTGTTCTTAAAATGCTGTTTTTTTCATAAGGTGACGAATTTAGCTCTACCTCAGTATTACCTGCACAATGTCTCTGTGCAGTGGAAGCAACTCTTCGGGGACAATAGTGATCGGACTTTCTCGGCTTGGAAAAGTGGGAAGATGTAGAACAAAGATACTAATCACAGAGTTATGCACTATACCTTTTACGGCCCCCAAATCTCATGGTATGGCCAAGGGTAGAGAGAGCGCTCTCTCGATATGCTTTTATACGGCTGCGTGTACATAGCCGCTACTCGAGGAGGTTCTACTTAATGCCTTCTCGCTGTGGGCTGGTTGTTTATGAAATTAAGGGGACACAAAGCATATGTCCGACGTGTACAGAGTTCACCTAGGGGAGTTGGAAAATCCTTATTCTAAACTAATGGTGCACATGGACTTCAGGATCCTGAGGGAACAAACGGCGCATGGACCTATTCTTGGTCACCGGTAACCATGTGACCGCATCTCCTAACGTTGCTCCACTGCCTCGTGGATTAGACCTCTGGGTTAGAGACTTGGGGTGTGGTCCCCTAAGAAAACGACCTGCTTCGATTCGGGCACCGAATAGTATCCCAGCCCACACACAGATTTAATGAAGAATTTTCGTCTGGTGCATATTTATTTTGACTCCTCTTTGTTATACTGTTTGCGTTTAATAAAATACAGTCCCGTTAGCGTTGTGAGCCCCCTAGATCCGTATAAATTACCGTGGCTTTCACTACTATATGATTATTAATCTTGTCTGTAGCCCTATAACTTACACAGTTACCCAGATGCACGAACCACTCGCTTAATTTTCACGTCTTATCGCACATGAGTCCATGCTCAAACTTCCAGCATTTTAGATAGTAGGTGAATGTGAATTAAGTAGCATCTACTTAATCACACAGTAAGATGATAAAATCTTTTCAAATAAGAGATCGGCACCGCCCCTACACATTTTCCGAAATGTCATCCATCAAAATGAGTAAAGTGGACAGTTTGGGGTCGAATTTTATCGACGCATGGATTTCAAGTTGTCTTTAGAGTTTTATATGGAGGGGGAATAGTAATGTAATGTATTCACTTATTAATTTTTTACTCTGTCTAGGGTGATAGTTGTTCGAACAGCGTGGGTAGCGCTAGCAGTGATCTGTCCGATAGCTGCAATAGTCCTGGTCAGAGACATGTGTATATACCCCCCAAACACTCTGTATCTGGAATTTCCAATGAAAACTCACCGGTATGTTTAATTTTAACTGCGATATTACAAACATACGTTCGAACTCAACTGTGATAAAACTGTCAAGTAGTGTTTAGCCGAGGTGATTAAATAAATAACCCATTTCATCCATTTGTAGAGAGATTTATGTAATTCCAACAAGTTATCTACTGCAGTTTTCCTATGTACAATAATAAAAAATTCCACTAATACTTAAGAAAATAGGTTCGGACAAATTACCGATAAACTACGATCAGATGTCTGGAGAAAGCTAATGTGAATGGTTTTAACGATATGAGCCTAAATAGATGGATTGTAACTAGTAATGAAATCCAGCACGTGCATTTCGTACTATTCTCGCCTGTACAGTTGGATATACCTACATCCCAATGTTCATGTTCACATTCTCCTAACATTTGTTACACATCGTAGAGCAGTATAGACTGCCCAACAGCACTCTCCATCCAACACTATCCTGGACAATCATTTCCAGTTTTTTCCAGTTGCTATTCATCCTTCTGGTTTCTGCTTCTTATTCCTGACGTAGCGTTTTTCCGACCTTCCTCTTTTCCGTTTCTCTTCGGGATTTCAAGTTAGCACTTGCTTTGTGATGCAGTTTGACGATTTCCGTAATGTATGTCCTATCCACCTCGAATGTCTTTTCCTAACTTCCTATTCAGATAGAAACTGATTTGTTCTCTTCCACAGTAGGCTGTCGCTGATGGTATCCGGCCAAAGGACATTGAGTATCTTGTGTAGACAATTATTTATCAATGCTTGTACATTTTCGATGATGGTTATGGTAGTTCTCCAAGTTTCAGCTCCGTACAATAGAACTATCTCGACGTTCGTATTTAAGACTATGACTTTAATGTTGGTTGACAGATGTTTTGAGTTCCATATGTTCTTCAACTGTAGGAATGCGGCCATTGTTTTGCCAATCCTTGCCTTTACGTCTGCACCAGATCCTCCTTGTTCATCGATGATGCTGACCAGATACGTGAATGTTTCTATCTGTTCCAGGGCTTCTTCGTTAAGTGTGATTGGTTCGGTGTTTTCCGTGTTATGTTTGAGGACCAAGCTTTTTCTCTTGTGTATGCTGAGGCTGCTGCTACACTGTCTGCCTTGGTATGAATTTGTTCGTGTACGGGGTCGAAGAACTAGGTCATCTGCGAAGTCCAAATCGTCTAGTTGCATCCAAGTTGTCCATTGTATTCCGTGATTTCCCTGAGATGTCGAGGTCTTCATAATCCAACCAACTACCAGAAGAAATAAAGAGGCGGAGAGTAAGAAGCCTCGTATGACACCGGCCCTCACTTGTAATGCATCTGTGAGCTGTCCTCTATGCACGACTTTGCAATGTAGTCCGTCGTATCAATTCCGTATAATGTTGACTATCTTCTCAGATACACCATAGTGTCAAAGAAAGTTCCATAAGGTTCTTCTATCCATGCTGTCAAACGCTTTCTCATAGTCAAGGAAGTTGGTGCATAGTGACGAATTCCATTCAGTTGGTTGTTCAACGGTGATCCGTAGTGTGGCGATTTTGTCTGTGAACGACCGATCCTTACGGAATCCAGCCTGCTGATCCTAAAGTTGAGCGTCCACTGAGTTTTTCATCCGGTTCAGCAACACTGTTGAAGACGTTTCCTGGTACTGACAGTAGTGTGATGCCTCTGTAGTTCTCACACTTGCTCAGATCTGCTTTCTTTGGTATCTTGATGAGCAATCCTTATTCCCAGTCTGTCTGGCACTTGTTCCTCCTCCCAGCTCTTCCTGAATAGGACGTGGAACACTTTTTCAGTTACTTCTGTGTGTGACTTCATTGCTTCAGCTGATACATTGTCAGGTCCTCCTGCCTTCCCACTCTTGACTTGTCTGATGATCATCCTGTTTTCTTCGGTCGTTGGCGGAGTGTCATCTGTAAGAAGGTCTGTATATGCTGCTTAGATGTCTGTTGGATTCGGTGGGACTGGTCTATTTAAGAGTTCCTCGAAGTATTCTACCCATCTGTTCTTCTATTCTTGAATCTCGGTGATTGTTTTGCCTTCTTTGTCCTTGATCGGTCTCTCTGGTTTACTATATTTCCCTGCTAGTTTCTTAGTTGTGTCATATAGTTGTCTCATATTTCCTTCTCTTGAAGCTTTTCCACTGTCGTTGCTAGTTCTCCCAACTATTTCTGCTTGTCGGCTCTAATGCTCCCCTTCACTTGCTTGTTTTCTTCTGTGTATTCAGCTTATGTTTTGACTTTTTCTGTTATTGTTCGATTGTTGTTAATTGTTGTCGTGTTCTTCCTTTCTTGAATATTGTCCAGAGTTTCTATGGAGATCTATTCTTTGTGATGATGCTTGTTGCTGCCCAGCACCTTAAACATTGAAGTTTTTACTTCTTTGATCCATTTCCATCCATCCTAGTTTCTTCTTTTTCATTTCCACACCGAGACAAATCTAGTATCTGTCTCTTCAAATTCTGGACGCGTTGTCCACGTAGCTAATGAGTTCATCTATGCAGTAATGGATATTTAAAAATAGCTATATCCAGGTAATCCTTTCAGAATCCACATACTCTAACCAAGACTGATCAAAATTCTGTCAAAAATATATATAACGGGATAATTCAAACTTATTTGATAATGATCAACGTTTACACCGGTCTTCGCACGTGTAAATTCGATTTAGTCAGTAGTTAACTCAGAGACCCCATACTTTAAGCTAGTTTTCGAAAATTTTTACTGTCATATACTTATATTAAGTCTGTATTTATTAACATTTGATAACTGTGGTCTTATATTAATTACCAGTGATTCAGGATTCTTAACTGTTATCAATATCCCTTCTAAATCTGTAAATTTCACCGTAATAAATTAGTGACATATATCTCACACATATTAATAGAACCATCGAATGCATTTTGGATACCAATTATTGTCCTGAAAAGTATATCGTACCAACCAACCTGAAGAAATGGGAAATGCATGTACGAGAGTTATGATCTTGAGTGAGGCAATATTTAGTTTACGTGGACTGTCTTATTTGTTTGTCCATTATTTTTTCATTTAATAGTCTCGCACATTCGATCCGGATAGTGGACATGGTGGTTCATTCGATTTTAATGGAACACAACCTTCACCTCTGCCTAATCGATCGAGCTCACACAGACTAAGCGAAGGGGATTCTAGTATAATTCAACATCCTCAAAATCCACGTCTTGTCCAAATCAACAGTCATTTATACGCTAATATGGAGTCCAGTACCGACAGTCATGTGTATCATTCAATCTTAGTTGACTCTAACAATGAATTGGGGCACCGTGGTAAGTCAAATATTAGATCTTTATTGTTAGCTAATAAGTCTGATTGCTAAAAGTGGGATAATCTGATATTATCCATAATCAAAGTATTCATTGTGTGGAAACTAAAGGTAAATACAATTGGAAATGAGAACTTGGTTGACAAGTGTGCGGTAACTGAGATAAGATTTAATTACTTATTCTGACTCACTGATGAATGTTAATTTAAAGTGTTTCATGATATACATGACGTTTTATTGAATGTGGCTCGTTTTTTATTACTTTACCTTATGTTATTTGTGTGTGTTGTTGACAGATCTGTCATGTTGCTTTGAATTGCGCCGTGGTGGATACTCTAAATCAAAGACCCAGTCGGACTGTCTTGCCGTAAATAGTTTGTTAATTGAAATCCCACCAGATATATTGGTGGGATAAATGTAAAATCCGAAGGCGATGCCGTATATTCTGACGGAGGTGGAGTGATAGTTTGATCCCAGAGCTCTTTCAGGATGATAAACCGGGAGTGTCAAAATGGATACGATTCATTTAAGGCTTGAAAGTTGAATGAGGCCCAATTCGACTATTCCCGATTCCTTATCGTCTCAGTTAAAAACAGGCAAAACTCCTCTTGTGATAATCTTAGAAAAATCAATGTGATTGATGTAATATCTGGAACATTAGCATCTATGATCGTCGGACGTATAAATAACACAGTGACAGCATACTGTTAAGACGTCGATAGATTCACAACCCGGTTCGGGTTGTATTAGCTAGATATTCACCACTCTTCAGGTTTCAGAGCACTTGCACATGCATATGTATGTGTATCTACAACATTCTTTTGGTTTATATATATATATATATATATATATATATATATATATATCGTGGAACTCGACTTTTTTAAGCTCCATTAAGATCACTGCTACACCATCCTAATATGTTTCCGCATTAAGTTCTAGCCAATTTTGCTACTTGATAATCCGATCTCGAAACACTATGGGTAATAAGAAGCTGATGAGAAACCAACAAGTTGAAACGAAATCCGGTGACTCTGCTCTCCCTGTTTTATGCCTATTAACCACCACTTCTAAAGTTACTGCTGGTCGCATTCCCGGGTAAAGAAGAAGAGTTCGGCATGGGGTCTGCAGCCCCGTTCCGTAGAAAGAAATCTTGCTAAAAAAACGTCAACCACATTAATCAAATTAAACCATTTGACCTCTGCCCTGGGAGTTGAAGGATGGATTATGATGCCTCTTGATGAATGCCGAGTTTGTTCGGAAGTCACGAGGCCTATGCTCCTTCTAACAATCAGAGCAATAATTTTAATAGGTACATGGAACGTTTGGACCAGTCAAATAACAACGGAAGTGATCAGATACAACTTGACGGTGCTCGAAATAAGTGTGACCCATTGGATCCAAGCTGGACAGCAAACGCTAGATACGGGAGAGATGTTTCTATACTCTGGTCACGAAGAAGAAAATGCTCCACACACAGGGAGTCGCTCTGTCCAAAGAAGCGCGAAATTCACTTATAGGATGGAAATCTCTCGGATTCGGGATCATCAAGGCATCCTTTAAAACAAAGAAGAAGGGAATCATAATTAATACTATCCAGCGTTATGCACCCAATAATGATAGCAGTGACGACAATAATGATCAGTTCTATGAGAGGCTGCAACCAATTATAGCGTAGTGTCCAGCAAAAGACCTGACCATCCTGATCAGAGACTTAAACTCCAAGATCGGAATGGACAACACCGGATATGAAGATATCATGGGACGATATGGACTAAGAGAGAGGAACGAAAATGATGAGAGGTTTGCGAACCTATGTACATTCAACAAAGTGGTTATAGGCGGCACAATATTTCCACACAATGCTACACGGGTCTCACCGGATCACACCACGGAGAACCAGATAGATCATATTTGTAACAATAAAAAATTCAGCAGGACAATGGAAGATGTGAGAATCAGTGGGGAGGGGAGTTGAGATAGCTTCAGATCATCAGCTGCTTGTGGCCATGATGAAACTGAAGCTAAAGAAACACTGGACACCTGGGGAAACAGCGGTACAAAGGTTCAATACAAACTTCTTTTGATATACTAACAAACTCAACTAATTCACGATAACTCTCAACAGAAGATTCCGAGCTTTACAAGATCTACTCAAAGAAGTAACTACGATGGCGAACAATCGGAAAAGAATCGAAGAAGAACTAGAAGACAGCAATTAACAACAATCGAACAATAACAGAAAAAGTCAAAACATAAGCTGAATACACAGAAGAAAACAAGCAAGTGAAGGGGAGCATTAGAGCCGACAAGCAGAAATAGTTGGGAGAACTAGCAACGACAGTGGAAAAGCTTCAAGAGAAGGAAATATGAGACAACTATATGACACAACTAAGAAACTAGCAGGGAAATATAGTAAACCAGAGAGACCGATCAAGGACAAAGAAGGCAAAACAATCACCGAGATTCAAGAATAGAAGAACAGATGGGTAGAATACTTCGAGGAACTCTTAAATAGACCAGTCCCACCGAATCCAACAGACATCTAAGCAGCATATACAGACCTTCTTACAGATGACACTCCGCCAACGACCGAAGAAAACAGGATGATCATCAGACAAGTCAAGAGTGGGAAGGCAGGAGGACCTGACAATGTATCAGCTGAAGCAATGAAGTCACACACAGAAGTAACTGAAAAAGTGTTCCACGTCCTATTCAGGAAGAGCTGGGAGGAGGAACAAGTGCCAGACAGACTGGGAATAAGGATTGCTCATCAAGATACCAAAGAAAGCAGATCTGAGCAAGTGTGAGAACTACAGAGGCATCACACTACTGTCAGTACCAGGAAACGTCTTCAACAGTGTTGCTGAACCGGATGAAAAACTCAGTGGACGCTCAACTTTAGGATCAGCAGGCTGGATTCCGTAAGGATCGGTCGTTCACAGACAAAATCGCCACACTACGGATCACCGTTGAACAACCAACTGAATGGAATTCGTCACTATGCACCAACTTCCTTGACTATGAGAAAGCGTTTGACAGCATGGATAGAAGAACCTTATGGAACTTTCTTTGACACTATGGTGTATCTGAGAAGATAGTCAACATTATACGGAATTGATACGACGGACTACATTGCAAAGTCGTGCATAGAGGACAGCTCACAGATGCATTACAAGTGAGGGCCGGTGTCATACGAGGCTTCTTACTCTCCGCCTCTTTATTTCTTCTGGTAGTTGGTTGGATTATGAAGACCTCGACATCTCAGGGAAATCACGGAATACAATGGACAACTTGGATGCAACTAGACGATTTGGACTTCGCAGATGACCTAGTTCTTCGACCCCGTACACGAACAAATTCATACCAAGGCAGACAGTGTAGCAGCAGCCTCAGCATACACAAGAGAAAAAGCTTGGTCCTCAAACATAACACGGAAAACACCGAACCAATCACACTTAACGAAGAAGCCCTGGAACAGATAGAAACATTCACGTATCTGGTCAGCATCATCGATGAACAAGGAGGATCTGGTGCAGACGTAAAGGCAAGGATTGGCAAAACAATGGCCGCATTCCTACAGTTGAAGAACATATGGAACTCAAAACATCTGTCAACCAACATTAAAGTCATAGTCTTAAATACGAACGTCGAGATAGTTCTATTGTACGGAGCTGAAACTTGGAGAACTACCATAACCATCATCGAAAATGTACAAGCATTGATAAATAATTGTCTACACAAGATACTCAATGTCCTTTGGCCGGATACCATCAGCGACAGCCTACTGTGGAAGAGAACAAATCAGTTTCTATCTGAATAGGAAGTTAGGAAAAGACATTCGAGGTGGATAGGACATACATTACGGAAATCGTCAAACTGCATCACAAAGCAAGTGCTAACTTGAAATCCCGAAGAGAAACGGAAAAGAGGAAGGTCGGAAAAACGCTACGTCAGGAATAAGAAGCAGAAACCAGAAGGATGAATAGCAACTGGAAAAAACTGGAAATGATTGTCCAGGATAGTGTTGGATGGAGAGTGCTGTTGGGCAGTCTATACTGCTCTACGATGTGTCAAAACGTATTTTAGTAAGTAAGCAAATGTACAACTCGCTTTTTATCAATTATTTGGGAAGCTGTCCGGCTACAGCCTTGTAAAAACAAATAAATCGTTGTTAAATAAACCGGTTGTCTTTGTAAATTAGTTTCATTCTACCTGATGCGTTTGATCATCAGTTAATTGCATATTAATTCACAATTTTATGATGTAACATTCTATAAGAATACTGTGTGTCAGCAAAAATATTTCATCGATATTTTCTAATTGTAAATGTTTACTTTTTTCTTATGGTAAGGCACAATCTCTGAAACTGTGGTTTCTTCTGTTACCCCGACAAAGTCAGATTTAAATAAAGGAGAAACTGAAAGCTTCAGTCGGTCCTCGACTACTTCTCATAATGATTCGGGTATGATCACTGAAACCTCCCGTATAGCTTCTGTTGAAATAAACTCTCCAGCTGATACGTCAACTTCCGTTGGCCATTTCGCAACACTAAAAACTACCCAGATGATGAGAGGTCTGTCTTTAGAACCAGATGCTTCAAATTCGGCTGCTGCTGTTGCTCTTGGCTTCACGCAACAGGGTTATGGGAGAGGGATGGCTAACTGGCGTGATCAAATGAATGAACTTAAACGACTTCGAAATCAACATAATAAACACCTAAAACAAGTTGAAGATAAAAATAAGGTTTGTGTTTTAACTTGTGCGAATATATTATTTATTATCCATTTGATATTTGTTTTGTGACTGATCTATTTTGTACGATAACTAAAACTGCGAATTTTGAATCAGTTCAGCCGTCACGGTTAAGTTTCTTGGAGAATTTTTCAGTTATCCTGCTTCGTTTGTACTAAAACAAACAATCATCTGTTAGTTTTGGTTACCCGTATTTTTTTTAAGGAATTGCTTTTCTAGATAATAATAAGTTTATGTTGAAATACATAAGTGTGTTTGAACTACTGTTTGTACAAATTATTATTAGTGTTTTTACTGAAAGACCAAACTGATTCAGGGTGCTTGAAATACTGGGATTTCATAGTCAGTTTGTGCTTAGTAGTTTTATCCTTATGAAATGAGTCTTGTATTTGTTTATTATTATTATTATTATTATTATTATTATTATTATTATTATTATTATTATTATTGTCACAAAGGTTGTCGTGTGTTTTTGATTTTGAGCTGTTTTGTTGTGATTCCAATATATTGTTAACATATAATTTCCAATCTCCATAGCATGTTTGCTTCGAAATTTACAGCTTAAGGTACAGGTTGATTAACATCGATAAATAATTGAAATCGTTTTTGGGGTACATACAAATGTCTTGGGCTGTTTTTTATTCTATAGGTTGAGGAAGAAGCACTCAAATCACGACTGAATCGTGACTATGAAGCAACAAAGTTAGCAATGAGAAAAGAGTTCATGAGATTAGAAGAAATCCATGCCGCTGAAATAGAAAAAGAGCGCAAAAGAGCGATGTCAGTTGAATCAAAATTAGCACGTCAACTTGAAACTGAAACGAAAAGTGAACTAAAGTCGGCCAAAAAATCTCCACTTGGATCTTTTAGTTCACATAACTCTGATTCCAGCGGACATTCCAACCCATTAGAGGCTATTCGGAAGCGACGGCATGATGTGTCGACATTGGAAACGCGTAAGACAAAGCGTCTTCTCCTCACACAATTGCAGGATATCGAGGTAAGGTGATAGTTACCTTTTTTATTTTCTTGATTGATTATAATGGGTTTAAAAAACGCGGATTATTTGTCCTAAAAGTTAGGTGAAGTCGTCGTTGTTATAAGCCTTTCATCGACTGAGATGGTTTAGATATTTACTACACATCCCCAGCCATCTCTTAACCCGAAATGTTATTCTGACTTAGTATAGTATTAAATTATAAAAAGCCTAAGGTCAACTAATTTAAGACAGTCACATCTTTTTTTTGTCAGTGGTAGTGACTACCCATCAGCTCAAACTGTGATTTTATGTTGGATACATTATTGATACTGTTCAAAAAAAGTTAATTTGAATTAGCATCTTGAGCATCATACACAATTATTTTCGTTAATTATGATTTCTTTTTCTCCTTTGATTTACTTGTACTGTTGATATAATCGTGATTGTTAATGGTTATTTCTACGTCTTTGCTTTTTTTCTTGTCGACTTCCTTTCACTACTTACTAGTGTGAAATGGGGCAACTTGAATTGTACAATATTTATCCCTGTTCCTAACTTGTTTATCTATTTTTCTTAATATCACTTTCTTCGTACTTACGCTAGATGGAACAATTACGACAATATATACGCCTACAACAGAAGGCAGCTGAAGAGATTACTTCGTTGCTACTCAGACAGCACACAGAACTCGAAAATTTAGAAATTAACCAGTTAAAACGGATTCAAGACCTACGCATTAATCAGCTTCAAAGTCAACATGAAGCCGAAATGGAAAATCTGCATCAATATTTTAAGCGCATTGAGGTTGGATTACAAAAGAGACATTGTGAAGAAACAAAGAATCTACCAAAATATCTGAAGGTTAGTTTGTAAATACGTGTGATATCTGATAGTCTGATTTACAGACGTTTTTCATAATACTTGTTGGAAAATCCCTTTTATCCTACACTTTGTTAATAAATACCCTGCGTCTAACCTCATGATTACTTACCCGGTGATCCCAGCAGATGCGGGGTTTGGCCCCCACCTACTTCGGTCTGGGCACCCGGGCAGTATCACAACCCACACACAAATATGGTGTGGCGCATATATATTTGGTGCCCTCTTGTACCAATATTTATGTGTTCAAATAAATAAATAAAATAATAAATATCCGTAACTACGAGTATAGACGCAGGTTATTAGGGAAAGGTGGTAAATCAGTTGATGAGGTTGTGAATCTTCATCGACTGAGATAGGCCACGTGTTACGCATGCCGAACCACCGACTACCACGGCGCGCAACGCTGACTAGTGTAGGGAATATTTGGAGGAAAGTTAGGGGTGGTCAAACCAAAACGTAGCATCAGTCTGTAAAGTCACTAACTTCAGGTCTGAACCATGTTGGTAGATACAGACCACTTGGTTGGGGTCCGCGTGACTATCGTAACCAATGGTTGGAGACTCTTGGTGACATGGCTCAGAATCGATCACAATGGCGTAGGTGTATAAACTCTTTGTCTTCCCTTAAACTGAGATTAAAATTGCTCTATATCGTTCTTTCGACAAACTAATTTTTTCTCCCTATATCATATTCTTATATACAATCTTTCCTTTATATACTACTACCATTAAAGTAACTGCTTCTATGAATTTGGTGTTCATCTTGTTGTGCTAATGAGGTATGACAACTCGGATCGATGTACATATGTGCCTGGTCCTACTTTGTAGACTGACTGACTGAACTTGCGAGTATCCTCTACCCTTAATTGGCCACGTTTTGCGGCCATAAAGTAGTACAGAACGAACTGCTGCACAGTATACTCTTCCTTTAATTGATAGACGGATATCTCGCCTTCACCGTAGGTGACGTAACCTGGCATAAGAGTACAGAAAATAACAAAGGGCAGGTCGATACATGATACCCGTTAATTAAGTCTTGGATTGTTAATCTAAGCTAAATGACTTATCTGTCGTGGGAGAAATTATTCAAATCTAGAGTCCTTTCTAACTCGATCTTCCTGTGTTAGTATGAGCTTAATGACCTAGATTTGATACATCAGTGTTTTTGTATTGTTTATTTGTAAATTTTGCCTACAGTTTTAACCAAAGTTTTGATGTACCGGATATTTCTGTGATTATTCTAGAAAAGATGACAAATATTTTTTTGACTATTTATTTATATTGTTGTGTGCTCGCTTTATTGGGTATTATTTCTTTGTTTAGCAAAAAGAATTACAAATTCGTAAACAGTTTCGTGATGCTGCTCGGATTCAGAAAAAGCAATTCAAACTTTTACGCGAAGAGCGTTTAAAGGCTGCACGTCGAACTTCAGAGTTAGGATCTTCTCCTTTTTCAGGAGCGTCAGAATCCTGCCCTTCGTCTGGATTAGTGTCATCAAATCCTAATAATTGCTCAGATTCCGTTGATCTTCAAGGTCAATTTGTTATACATCTACAAGATGAACGCCAGATTTTGGAAAATCTTAAATTGGAGGAGAAACGTAAACAGGCTGATTTAGAGGCACAGTACAATAAAAGTATTAGTGAACTACATGAGCGTCAAAATGTAAGTCCACTCTCTTGTCTTCAAATAATGTAAATCAATCATTAAAGTTACTGTATGATTTTAGTTAATTATCATATAGTTTAGTGTTTTTGTGACACGCCAATGCATTTCTTAAAAAATGAAAACACTAACGTATACTGGTGCTAAACAAACGCCGACATACTTTCATTGATTTGAATGGGTAGTGTTTTTATTGTTCACAATACATCTTAGCAGAAAATGAAGACTGATGTGTGTTTTTATCACTAGATTGTAATGCTGTTGTAAGTCTTGGGTATTTCAGTCAGTCAGTAACAACGTAGAACTTCGTACGTACGTACATCAGTTCGAGTTGCCACACCACATTAGCACAGAGATGCAGTGGTCGATTCAAATCCCGTAGTGGTAAAGGTAGCAAGAGTATAAGCAGTAATCGGGAAGATTAGGGTTTGGAGATGTTATTTAAAGAGTATAATCCGGTGAAAGAAATTTGGGAAGACGGAAAAAGGGACATGAAGAATTCAGAAGATTAGAGTTTGGGAGAACACAGAGAGTGGATGCACCTGCGCCATTGCGAACGATTTTGAGCCATGTCATTCAGGGTCTCTAACCATCGGTTGCTATCATCTCGCGGTCCCCAACCAGGTAGTCTACACCTACCAACATGACTCAGTTCACTTGTCAGTGACTTCATGGACTTGTGCCATGTTTTGGTCTGGCCGCCCCTAGCTTTCTTCCAACCTACTCCTATACCACTGAACATAGCACGTCGAGGCAGTCGGTCGTTGGGCATACGTAACACGTGTCCCAGCCATCTCAACTGATGAAGTTTCACTACTTCATCAATTGATTTGCCATCCTTACCTAGTACCCGTTTCCTGACAACTGTGTTACTTACTCGATGGTCCCAGGATATACGAGCAATGTTTCGAAGACACCTATGATCGAATACTAGTAACCTACGGATATCCTCTACTCTTACCGGCCATGTTTCACTGCCATAAAGTAGGACGGAACGAACTGTTGGGTATTTAGATATCTGCTTTTAAAAATATCCCCAAGGCTATAATTACAATTTATTTTGTTTTACAAAAATGATGTTTAATCCTATTATTCTCTGGTTGCCTTTTGAGAATTATGCATTGGATACCATATGTTTTCCAAAAACCTATAAACTCTAGGTCGGAATACATACTGTCGTGCACTAATACATGGAAGGAGGTTGTCTTCCGCTTCGTCTTGTTTCCTTCAATAAGCACATGATATTCTTGTTTAGTGTTCTGTTAATTACAAAATTAATAACCATTCAGTAATATGAGATGCATATTGTACTTAGTTGTGTATGCTAAATAAGTGATATGATTAGTATAATACGTCTATTTTGTTTATTTTTATACTATACTGAAGTTCATAAAAATTTCAGAAAATACAAATGATCTCAGAATTTCGTGTTGAATTCATCCTATTCCTTACCTCATTAAAAATTAATTAGAACATCTTCATCGACTGAGGTGGTTGGGCCACGTATTACGTATGCCTGAACACCGATTACCACGACGTGCAATGCTAACAGGTGTAGGGGATGGTTGGAAGAAAGTTAGGGGCGGCCAAACCAAAACGTGGCATCAGTGCCTGTAGTCACTAACTTCTAGTCTGAGCCATGTTGGTAGATGCAGACTACTTGGTTGTGGTCCGCGTGACTTTCGTAACCAATGGTTGGAGACTCTTGGTGACATGGCTCAGAATCGATCACAATGGCGTCGGTGTATACACTCTCTGTCTTCCCTTAAACTAAGAGATTAAAACCATTTCATATCTTTCTTTCTACGAACTAATTCTTTCTTCCTTATTGCAACCTTTGACCTAACCACTCCTATGAATCCGGTGTCCATCTTGTTGTGTTAATGAGGTATGGCAACCTGGACCGATGCACATATGTGCCTGGTCCTACGTTGTAGCTGACTGACTGACTGAGAACATCTAAACGTGAATAATATTGCTTTCAACTAAATCGCCACTAAGCTTTACTCTAATATATATAGATATTCATATGAAAACATTAAACCATTCAAGGCAATTTATTAGTTAATCATCATAATGAAATAGATTGCATAACCACAAATAATAGGTAAAAGGTACAAATTGATAGTAATAAAACACATGTACTAGCAGAGATAGGGATAATAAAATAATAAAAGCTCTGGTTCAATACAGGAAGTAGGCCAAACCTGGATAAATAGGCTTTAAAATAATCACAAAACGAATTACGTAATAAGAAGTGTGTATATAGTTAGGTATTGAAAAATGTAAACGGTGAGGTGAAATATTACAAACAAATATGGGCTGTGAAAAAAATCGTTTATCAAATCATATCCACCCAAGGCAGGGACAAGGGTGTCACGAATTTTTTATGGACACATAAACTGGGGTTATATGTTCGGATCCCTATAGCTTCCGTTATGTGTAGGAGACGGTATTAAACCTCATCAGAAATGACGAAGGTATACTAAAGGTCATTTGAAATGATTCGGTTTTATCAACTATAACCTCAAAGGGTTTCTTGAATATTTTAAGAAGTTAATTGTTTTCAGTCCTAATGAGACTAACGAAGCAGTCACCTGTTATAAACAATGTATCTGACTGTGCTAAATAACAACATTATTTTAGCTACTGTCCTTCAAAGCGAATTGGTTAAAAGGCTGAAAAATTTTGATAAAATGCTTTACATATATACAAAAGTCATAAAAATATAAGTTTAGTGCCAGAATAGGGAATTATCACAACTATTCTAAGTCTAGTGTTTTTCAGCCATAGTTTTAAACGACTTTCCTAACAGCATTTCAGAATTATTTTTTATTTGCTGTACCTTTAAATGATTTCCCTTATCACCTATTTGCTACCGTCTCTAGGATAAAGTTGAAACAACACATGCTCGCGAGAACAAAGAATTTAAAGAAAGTCGTTTAGAAGGAGTCAAAATTCTTTCTAATTTTCAAGAGAAACAACGGCGTGATATGCTCAAACAGCATCAACGCCAAAGAGAGGATTTAGAGAATAGAATTCGTGCCCGGAAAGAATCACTGGAAGCTGCGGTGCGTTGTCTAGTTCCTATTTTATACGCGTTCAGTTGTTGCGAAGCACTCTGCTTTCTATATGTTCATTTAATTTTTGTCGTTTATTAATCGCTCACAGAGTATGGTCATATGGTTTTGTAATGGCTTATTTAACTTTTTGGAAGAAAATAATGATAAATACCCCTACTATTTCCTGACCCATGCAGACTAAAAATTACCTACTAGGTTCTAAGCAATTTATTGCAACAAATACAATATATATATATAACTTACATCTGAAGTGTGATTGAATACATAATCCTATTATAGGTTGCAACGACACACAACTTGTCCATTGAAGTGTTATCAAAGGTCATTGTGTAGCATCTTGAATTGCTATATCTCATCTAGAAGTGATAATTCTGTCAAAAATGATCTTATATACATCGAATTTACCGGATATTCTTTTATTATGATTTTTGTCGTGTAAATATTTCTTTAATCTTAGGTTTTGCTTCTCAGGTTATGTATAATGTATTGTCAGTGGCAACACTAACTGATAATAATTTGAAAATACTATTCGATTATAAAACAGTAGCTAGATGGTAATATCTTCGTAGTAGCTCGGTGTCCAGGATGATGATGACGACAAAGAAACATGCTACTAAAAACTTGAAAACTGGGAACAAATATTATATCCTGTCTTATTTCTCCAGCTGATAACAATTTGCGATAAAAAACAGAATGTACATTAAGTCTGCAAACTAATGACTGCTAAATTGAAATCAGCATCTTAATTTTTTAAGATAACTGGGCGCTAATTCTATTCAGTATATTCCGGATATCATCACTGAATCTCTTGAAAATTTTAAATGGTTCTAGTATAATATATCATTTTTAAATGTACTTTATTTCAAAAGCCACCCTATCACATAGTTTTTCTCTACTTTAGATGAAAAAAAATGCTGAGTCAACCAAGGAGGAGTCACGAAGAAAGACAAGGCGTCTGATGGAACGCCACGCCGAAGCTCTGCGCGCCTTCGACATCGAAACTGCCAACCTCGGAATCGACAATGCTGCTGTTGTTGGTGCATCTGCGAGGATTTCTGGATCATCAGGAGTCTCCGGCGGATCTTCAAGTAGCAGTACATCGTTCTCTAGCTCCAGTGGACAGCGTCCTTCAGACTGGCGACACAGTCGTGCAGAGTTCCTCCCATCCTAATAAATCCAAAGCAGTCGTGGCTTCGGGTAAGCATTCACGCAAACTATTGTTTTTTCAGAACAAACTTTGATACAGTTATTAAATTTGAAGGAAAACCTGAAGAAAAAAGACCTGTCAAAACACGTTTTGTGTCGAATAGATGGATGATTATATCACACTGTAAATCGATAATAGACATAAATTATAAGAAAATAAGTCGATATGAAGTAAATTATTTGTTGTCTAGATGTTAGGTGTATTGGAGTTGTTTATGGAAAGGTTAAATTCAAATTATGTTAAGTAACTAAAAAATTACGTGTGAATGTAAAGTTAGCATTAAATTATCGAGACAATACACTTTCGTCCATCTTCTGTTGTATTGTCTGATGTCGTATTCTTTTATTTTATTCGCATTAACAGATTATTAGGATTTCATATTCCATAGTTAATCTGTTTACAGTACTGAAGTTTGGTTAATATGAAATCTAAAACTTCCAACTCATAAAATATGACCCTAGTTATATACCACTGCTTTATAAATAAAAAAGCTTGGATTTCTTATGGTCTCTTATATGTGATATTGAATAGAATCTAAGGATTGATTTTAGACTTCTCAAAATATCGTATCATTTGCGTGATTATGTGAGGGGTGTATTTAAATACTTTATGAACTTGTTTACTCAAGGCTCGTGAACCCTCTACGTCATAAATTAACGAGCGTTATGTCGATCTGCAAACCTTAGTGTGAACCAATATTATATTGTTATGTTAAATGTGATGGTAAACTGATTTATTTAATGATCACCATCTGAGGTTTCTTGACCAACATCCACTGCCATATGGCTTACTTTGTTTGAATACACTGTCATTTTGGATTCCATATATCTTAGAATTTAAATTACAGACGTATTTTCATTTCCCTTATCTTAGCATCTGTATATTAATTTACAAGAAAGCTCGTTCAATCCCATGAAGCTGCCATATCAGTATATGCATTTGACAGTTTCACCATACGTTCTCAGGCTTGATCTGCAAATCAGAAGTTCATACCGTGTATTTTTCTATACAGAGATAGTTGTATAAGCAATCACATCAACTCGTCAACACAACCCTGTATATGTTAACAACCGGTCAACTAACCACCCCTCCCCCGTAACTTCGAGAACAATCACAACCCGTCTTTCCAGGTACTATCGTAATTTATTTCTGCGATTCTTACAGTATGCGGCTTCTTTTAATGTACAGTTCAGATGTAATCGAAAAAACAATTTCAAAAATCACATGCAAAATACATCCAAACTAGCTACATTTTTTTGTATTATTGGCTCCTAATTTTATACGATGGTTTTCAATTTTCATGTAACACTTAGTACATAAGACGAAATGAAGAGATGATCAATCTCACCAAGTCTCTTTACTGTTAGGATTGGTTATACTTTATTATTAAATGTATTTAAATTTCCAATAATATGTTCAAACAGTTTATGATTTGTCTCCCTCTTCTTGCCCTGACAACCCGAGTACCGTACTATGACTATCTCCACAAAAGCTTATTATTAATTACTTTTTTTCTTGTAAAATGTTTCGTTGGCTTCAGCACATGATATAATTTAAAAATCAAAATGATAGTGATACTAAATATATTTATATCATACAATACATGGCAATTTATTTCAGTTGTTTACATGTGTGATGAAGAAAAATAAAGTTGCATGAAAAGTTATGTATGTTGCAATCATACTGATATCTGTGGGAGATATCGAACTGTACAAGAGGTGATGTATGGTGAATTAACGTAGTTTTTATGTCAAGCATATAAAAACTTCCTAGGATATGGTAAGCTTTTCCATCAGTCTTCGTTGATTGGAATCAGCGGCAGTTGTAGAATTATAGACTTCATAAAAGATGCCGCTGCAAGTGCTGCATAAGGTTGCCACTGTGTACCTTGTCTCCCTTCCATATAGTCAGCTATTCCACGAATAAGAATAAACGAGTCAAGGCCGTTTCCCATGACGGACTCCAAAACCTGAAATTAGATATAGAACACAAGGTTAGTTGGACATCGCTCCAATCATCTGAAAGAACAGCTTAACATGTGTACCATATGACTAACTTACAACAAAGAAAATTAGGAACAGTAACAAACTTACTTGATCGTATTCAGCATCATAACATAGTAGGTGGTGTTCTTTAGCAAAGTCACTCATCAATGCGTCATTATCTGTAACTGGTCTGCCAGATCCCATACAACCAAGGCGTACGGCTGGTACGCCTGGTGGGTAGAAACGCGCCAGTTCTTCAGGCACATCCGGATGCTTGATATCGAATGTTACACCTTCGTTGATCTGTATAAAACATGATCATTAAAGTTTAGAATATCAGTTTTCATTAATTAATCTTGGTAAACATTGCATTCAAACTAGAAACAAACACATCCTATGAAAGTAATCCGTGCACAATGCATAGTGGCATCAGGTCTCTTTCATGAGAATAATCTATAGGTAGATCACATTATTAAAATAACGAAATATAAGTGATCAATAACCAACTGAATGGTCACGCGACACGAATTAATCGATTAGACTAATAATGATCTTATCTGTTAATTGAAACAAGAACGTGAATGGATGTTAATTAGAAGAATTGCGATTTGTAATTGTATTGATTTAACTATTTTTTAATTAATCTGATTCCATCACTATATTATCACCGTGAATTTGCATAATCTCGAAGTATTATTCATAAATCTGTCAAATTCAAAGGAGGTTTAAACAGTAGCAAAAAAGTGAGCATCAACAGAACATCAGGAATTATTATCTGCTCAAAATATACACTTTTGGGACTTACTTTAAGTTTTAGTTTGTCTGTATCAGGTGATGGTCGAGCAAAATCAATGGGATCATCCTCTCCACCTAGTATAGTCAAAGCAGACTTTAAAATCTGATCCCATTCACATTTTTCCGGAGCTGCTTCGAAGCGATCAAGGACTTTCTCTACACAGCTCACTAAAGTTGGATCTCGAGCAGCGTACTTTCTTAAAACAAATCTTGGCGTTTTCATATCAACTGCATCTTCCGGAGGTTCAATCAATCGATCACAGTAAATGTAGATAGAGTCTCCTACATCATTCGATACAGAATGATTTGTATGATTGTTCATAGCTGAAGAATGCAATCCACTTGAACGTGCCACAGCACTCACTACAATATCACCCAGGCGAGAATGTTTTTCAAATTCATACACGTGAGGTACGCTACCTCCAACCCCTACTAGAAACACATGTTGCACCGCTTGGAATGCTCCTAAAGAATAAAAAAGCATGTGTACTTGATGAAATACAATATCCAATAACTATACATAGCGATGAATATAAGATTTATCTCTAATAAACCACACAGCTGTTTTATGATACGAAAGTACCACAATACACAGCTGGTGAGTTTAAGTAATCATTATGATATAATAGTAGGGTGTAGACATTTAAGAGATGAAAAACACTGTCAGTAAGAAGATACAATCACATGTAATGATTATCGTTTTCCGTTAATATACCTTTATCTCAATTACCTGTATTTACGCATATTGATCATTAAGAGAGACAGTTATTACATAGCAAAATCTTTTCGCTTGCAAATAAATCATAAAGAATTCATGTTTATAAAGTGAAATTATCTGGTCTAGAATGAAAGCTGTGTCTATTTTAACAATAAAATATTATGGAGGAATCGATTACACCAAAAGACTATATAAATTTGTATTAAACGGAGCACACGTATAATGTTAACTAATAGTTACTAAAAATAAATCAGAGTTTTATCACCTACTCCTCAATGGAATATAAATAAACTCAAAATGCATGGACTGAGTCTTACTAAAAGACGGTTGCTGAAATTCAACAGTGCTGATGTATCAATCCCGTTTCACAACACTTGCATAAGATTCTAGCCTTAATGTACGATCTTATATTCCAATTAAATAATGATAAGGATATTCGTAAACTTGATATTATCCTGTTTCTGCATTTGTAATCATTCCCTATGTTAAAAAATCTGCCAGCGAAGTTCATTAAGTTGAAATGTGATGAAATAGACAATGTTTGTTAAGTGATCAGCTGTGATAACTTTATGACAACACTGAAAGCACTTGATTTCATTTAAATTTATGAATGATCATCTAAACGGAGAGATCTTGGAAAGATAGGAATAATTACAATCCACAAGGAAATGGATAATAACCCGTACATAACGAAAGTCTACAAAAATAGTTTGTAACACCTCAAGAAATACTAAACAAACAGCATTAGAAAGTTGTGGCTGCAGATTGAGAAGATAATTTACGTGAATAACAGCACATACTAGAAAAATGAATGTGAACAAACCAATGAATCACCTTTATTAACGAAATAAACAAGTGGAGAGATACAACCTTGTCTCTACGATGTAGAACGTCACTTCATTAGTTATTTGTACGGTTAGAACAGGATCACTGACTACGATAAAGCGTAGAAAACCGTTAAGGGGTTTACAAACGTTTTATCCATGGAGAAAATGTCTTTGAAGTAGTTATCCACTCTAATATAAAGAACAACTATTGTCCCAAAGCTCAAGATACGGCCTTAACACTTCAAAACAAAAACGTGAGCTATAAATATTATATTCTTATCAAGTACAAAGTTAGAATAAACATGTAATCTTGTTAACCAGTAAATATTACCGAGAGAACAAACAAATAGTTTATGAACTAACCAAGCAGCCGAGTTGTAATACTCCCAGAGGAAATTTTCGCTTGAAGTTCACGTCCAACCATAGGCAGTTTTGTAGAAATGACTTTATGTGGTCCTATGTTCCCGATAGTGTAAACATGTGATTCACCTAAAATATTAGAAAGGAAAAGATATTGGGGTGTATAAATATACATGTAATTACCCTCAGATTTATAACGAACAAATGTTGTCTTCTGTTCCATCATTGCATCTACAGCTAATTTTTCACAAAGCAAATTAGTGATAATTGCAATTGTAGGCTTCTCAGATGTGGATACTTGTTGCATATGATTTGCTCCTTTCATTTCTCTGACAACTAAAAGAAAAAAATCAAGATAAGTTGAACTATTCATCAAAAAAATCAAATTGGTAATATGTATTACATCAAGAAGGATGTAAGGAAATCTAAACAAAACTTCTAATAATAAGTTGTTGATTGACTACATAAGCAGTAAAGCGTCTGCTAGGTGGCTGAAGCATCTAGCTTAATTCCCAAGTTCTACAAGTGTTTCGCCTACGTCAGTTGGAACAGATGAAAACTATCTTACATCCTCACAAAACAAGTGTAGTTCAAAGCCCGGGAACATACACTTGTAATTAATAAATGAGTTCAATTGTATTTTATAACCATAGATTGAGTTTTCCTCGTCAGGGAATGAAGTGAAATTAGAAGACTTTTTAAAATGATAAAATGAACCTACAGAATGATAAGATTAAATGAACAAAAGCACTTGGACGTATATTTTTAAAATAAGATTGAAAAATGATATCTACATGACTAGGATCAATTTCGTGATATACTACTTATTCACTGAAGGATTTACCATTTTCATGCACACCTGATGGAACTTGAGATAAGCATGATTTATGAAAAAGTTCAGAGGACTCCTATCCAACTGACAGGCAGCCTCAATAATCATTCTAGTATGGTACCCTAGTTACCATACCAACTGATAAAAAATCAAACGAATACGAAATATTTCAGCAGTATTTTCTTTCAGAACTCGTAGACACTATAAGTAAACATATTATTTTTTATTTAGTTGTAAAACCTTCATAATTAGGTAGATTAAGAATAAATGTACACAAATAGTTAATATCTTTATAGACCAATTACCGCTATCATTATCACAGGTACATCTAAATATACATGTATGACATGGCAATAATTATAATATCCATGATTTAGTCATACGGTAAAATCAATAACTACTTAAATAATAAATAAAACAACAATTAAGATGTGATTGATCTCCATCATTAGTTAGTACATAAACAGAACACATGATATTTCGTGATTATCGATTTGAAGGCAATAAAATTACAGAAAAGTATTTTTGTTTAGATACAAGCAACACAATAATTTATATTTATTTGGCTTCATCTAGTCAAATAACTGCATCAACGAAAAAGGAAGGTATAATAAAGCATTAATAATTCTATCATTTTATAAAATGCATTATTTTTGAATTAAATTTCACAGTGAACGATGACATAGATAATGGATGTCACAAACTAGGTATTAAAAAAATTTCTAAAGAATATGTATAACTATGAAAGTGTGTGTATTGATCAAACAAATTTCTCACAAAGAAATCTAATTATATTCAGCAGTGGTAATATGTGTAAGATTGATGATAAAATATCGATATGGCAAGGAAATCATGTATTTACTACTTAGATGAGAGTTAATGTGATAAAGTTGCACTTTATGACTAAAAAGTGGGGTCTCATACTTTCAGAGACTACATGAGGCGTAATTATTTGTCTAGAATGTAACTCCTTAACAATCTAGGCAAGCCAACACATATATGAAGGTTCAATAGAACAAAGGAAACTCAATTTAATGTGATAGAGCGACGAAGACTGCACCTACAAATGAGATATTAGTTG